ATCAGTTCGACTCTTTGATGTAGGCACCTTTTGAGGATCCAGTCGTATCTTCGTTTCGAAGGTGGATCGGTGAGTGAAAGCCCAGACACTCCATGGGACTGTCATATTTACCGATCAGTTGGGGTGGTGCCAGGGGGGGTCAATTGATCGGCATATATGCTAGTCCCATTAGTCGTGTCTGGGATATATCATTTGCAGACCGAGTTTCGAGTGCTGCTGAGTTTATCCAACAAAAATCGCCCAGCAAGTTGGGCAGGAACACACATGCACACACACACACCTACCTATACCTACCCTACCCTACCCTACCTACCTACCTACCTACCTACCTTGTGTTTGCGATGATCCGGTCGAGGGTGATTGAAGAAACATTCACTGTAGTCTTGGAGGGTTCCAGCCGTAGCTTTTGAGAAGGCGGTGGATTTCGTCCCCGGGTGTAGCAGCACATGTTATTATTGCCAAACTCGCCTTCGGAACCTCGTGGAACGTGAAATAGCATGCACTTGGCTACGGAAGACGCGTTTTTGTTATGTTTGCACGCCTCAGATCTATGTTATAGATATTTGAGTTCTCGTGAAGCAGAACCCGTCATGTTCCATGAGCCTTGTGAAATGACACTTGCCTGGGTGGAGTGAACACCTCCTGTTTGGTATTTGAATTTCATGGTCTTTCCAGGGGCCATACCGATCCGTTGGCACGCTTGTGCTTTTTTACACACCGGGAGTTGGTCTCAGGGTGAAAAAGGGGCAACCCTCTTGACATGTGGATTTTCTTGGTCGCTACGTAAGAAGGTACTCGGGTGGAGCCCATCGCTACGTAGGTAGCAGTGGCTTTAACATGTAGAACCCTTTTCGCCGATGGGTGAAGGTCTCCGAACTTCGCACATTGATCGCCATTGCGGTTGGTTGGATGACTGTGCTTTGAGAACACGACACAGGTTGCGTGCCAGAATCTGGTTTTGGAACACCAGGTAGTTTAGTTCATACAAGCTATATTAACATATGACAGAAGATCTATGTGAACAACACCATTCATAGAGCTCTTATTTTCGTTTTTCTCCGATCTGGTTAGAGCGGAGCGTCCCCCGCGTCCCCCGTCGTTCCGCTCAAGGCTCATGGCGTGCCCATGGAGCGATCTGTGAGCGATCCTGCCCGTTGTGGCGTTTGAGAATTTGCGGTTTGAGGTGAGTGGAGGACCATGGACCATGGACTGACCATGGATATATGAAACGAAACATGTGAATTGCTAGATGTGACATGTAAACCATCCTGCGTTGGTGGCATGAACATTCCGCAGGTGTTGCTGTTGGGCACTCCAAATATTTCACGGCGGGAGAGGTTCTACTCTGCAAGGACAGGTTTCTTGGGACCGGATAGCTTGGCCTTTCGATGGCCACGGCGACACCTCGCAAGAGACGCACGGCGACACAGGCGGCACACCCGACACGTCGGTCTTGTGTCGCGGCACAGCGACGCAGCGACACATGGGGGGGGGTGATTGGTTGGGGAAGCCCGTCATGAACGATTCCAACGAGGTGTGCTTCGGGCCCCGTGAAACGCCTTCTGCGCGGAGGTTTTTTCGGTCCGACCGGGTCCGGTGAGGGCGAAAAAGGAGTCTTTTGGCCATCTTTGGCATATGAACATATATTAACATACATTAATTTTAAAGGAAGTGGGTGTATTATGATTCCTGAATATATATATATATAATACAGTGTATATATATATATATTCTTGGATGAATGATGCCAATGTATTTCATATGTTGTTTATATATTTGATTCTACTTGGTTATCATTGATTAGGATACTATTTCTGAGGGCTTTGTTTCTAAGAAGCGGCTTCCTGGGTTCCGGGAAAGGACCCGGACGATCAAAGAGCCTCCAGAAAAAATTATGGCGATGGCCTCCAACCTTACTAAGTAGGTGGTTCAGGAACCCTGAACACTCGATTTATTTTGTTGCTGTTCTTTCTTTTTTTTTTACCTGCCTGAACTGGGTGAATCATCTGGCACGGGGAATGTTTCATGTTTCCTTTTTTGGCTTCCTGGACGGCAAATCCCAGACATCCTGAAATCCCTGGGCCAGGATGTCTAAAAGATGTCAGAAGTGCTGGCGACTCCCGGGATGTCCTCTTTTTTGGGGGGGGAGTCGATTTGGGCTCATTTGGTTGAAGTGGGAGAGAAGCACCGAGGGGCGAGCCGTAGAAAACGCATAAAACGGGGCGAGCCATATGAGATCGTCATAACCCTAGGGCTCCAAGCACATCCTCAGAAGGTATAGTTACGAAGTTAGATCCCTCAAACCCACCACAACCATTCTCAGGAGGTGGTTGGAGCCCTAGGGTAAGTTGAAGTGGGATCATGATGTCCTGGGGATATCCAAGATCTGCTCACCGTAGCGATAGGAGGGTGGCAGTGGATCCATAGGGATGGATCATGTTCAAGTTTTCTATTGGAAGGGTCCACTGAAAAGCGAGCTGCTGACCTCATCCGAGACGCAGCTGAATGCTTCGAGACGCATCAGCTGACCTCGTTGTACAGAGACTCCCGTCCGCGCGCGAAACGCTGCCGTCCTGCCACGGTTTCGGGTCCGATTCTGAAAGCAACATGTGGCACATGTGTGGCACATCCTCCGCATGGGCCGTTTGGGTTTGCTTCTGGAATCGTTCTGAACTAACTTTCGATCGAGTAGACCTGTGAGGCCTTCAACATTAAGAGATGGGGTTTTGTGACATTCGCGTCGAAGCGGACACAAACATGCTCCCTCCAGACCAGGCTCGCAGAGCACGAGCCCTGGATTTCAAGGGGAAACCAGTAGCTATACACCCTAGATGAATCCACATACCCTGTGAGAAGGTGAATGGAGACACTTTTGTGCACGGGTCCGGTCGTAGCTTCGTTTCGAAGGTGGATCCTGATGGACATCTAGGGACAGAGGGTTTCTTTCTTTCTATGAAGCAAGCTGCAGGCGGTGTTTATGAAGGATCATCATGTGGAATTTTTTCATGAAGGATAAGCTGCCACCACCAGTCTCCGCCAGCTCCCCTTGTGCCATCTCGCATGGACAAGGGACACTCGATCAGCTCCCAGAGACTGGTTACGTGACGCGACCAAACAGGTGGTGAAACCACTCCATGACATGGTGGGCAGTTGGAGGGAGGGTATGCCAACACATTCCATCCATTCCGAGGCCACCATGACTCAAAACATACCCTCTCCTGAGTGGAGTCCGGTTAAGCTTCGCCAAGAATCTGGCCCTGCTTGGGCATATGGATGCATAGATGGTCACTCTCCAGTGAGGTGAGGCTGCTTTCCACTCAGAACTCCCGGTGCTTGCTTCCATTCGAACTCCACCTGGCTGCATGTTTGTATTAAGTCAAGTGAGTCAAGTGTGTATAAAAAAGCTGTGAAACCCTGGCAGTTCTTCTTGGCAGCCGCGTTCTGCACAGTGCATGAGCAATACTGAGCAAATCACCGAGAGAGTCGTTTCGAAAAAAGCGGAGAAGAGAGCCATGGTCTGATGAATGGGACTTTCTCGTTGTCCTTCTTCTTGTTGTTGCTGTAGTACAATAGTAGTTGTAGATTGGAAATAGCAGCAAGCAGTAGTATTTGTTGTTGTTGTTGTTGCTGTTGCTGTTGCTGTTGCTGCTGCTGCTGTTGTTGTTGTTGTTGGTTGTTGTTGTTGGTTGTTGTTGGTTGTTGTTGGTTGTTGTTGGTTGTTG